GTAATGTAAGTACGTAACGTAAGAGTACAACGGTAACGTAACGTAATGTAACGTACGTAACGTAAGCGTACAACGGTAACGTAACGTAATGTAACGTACGTAACGTAAGAGTACAACGGTAACGTAACGTAATGTAAGTACGTAACGTAAGAGTACAACGGTAACGTAACGTAATGTAAGTACGTAACGTAAGAGTACAACGGTAACGTGAGAGTATGATCGTAGCGTAGCGGACGTATATCACATCGCCCGTACAGACGGTATATGCAGTATAGACAGTATACGAACGTATCAATTAACCTTCATTCACTCAAGGTTACGGAGTGTTGCGAGCAGTTCGCTTTTCTTTTAACAATCTCTTCATTCATTAAGTTGGCCGACATAATTAGCGTCCATGACGTCACATCTCGTCGAGTTTTAATTGGGTTTAATCGCCTCGTTTAGCAAATGCTACGCGTGATAGGGAAGCGAGTGCAGTGGGAACATAGGCGAAACTACTAACGATTGATGCACAGCGTCTAGCTATAGTAAGAACTACCATCTTCCCCCTCTCTCTCTGTCTCTGTTTCTCTCTATCTCTCTGTCTCTGTTTCTCTCGCTCTCTCTCTCTCTCTTCTCTATCTATCTCTCTTTCTCCTTCTCTCCCTCTCGCCTCGCCACTTTTCTCTCTCTCTCGTCGCGCGCATCTTCTCGTATCCTATCTATTCATCTATCCTATCTATCTATCTATCTACTATCTTATCTATCTATCTATCTATCTACTCTATCTATCATCTATCTAACTATCTATTCTATCTACTCTATTATCTATCATCTATCTTCTATCTCCCCCCTATCTCTGCATCTCGCTTTATTCTCGCCCTCTCTCTCATCCTTCATTTCTCTCTCTCTCTCGCCGCGCTCTCTTGCTCTCTCTCTCTCTCTATCTCTCGTCTCTCTCGTCGTATTATTATCTATCTATCTATCTCTATCTATCTTATCTAAATTATCTATCTATCTCCACTCTCCTCTCCCTCCCCTTTCTCTTCTCTCTCGCGCGGCTCTCTTTCCTCGTCGTCTCTCTCATCTCTCTCTCTCCTTCTCTCTCTCTCTATCATCTATCTATCTATCTATCTATCTATCTATCTATCTGTCTATCTATCTGATTTATCTATCTAATCCTATCTATCTATCTTCTATTATCTATCTATCTATCCTATCTATCTCTAATCTATCTATGTATCTATCTTTATCTCTCTATCATCTTTCCTCCTCCTCTCTTTCTCTTTCTCTCTGCGCGCGCTCTCTCTCTATCTCTCTCTCTTCCCTCTCGGTCCTCTCGTCTCTCATCGCTCTGCTCTCTCTCTCCTCTCTCCTTTTCTCTTCTCTTCCGTTATCTACCTATCTACTATCTATCTATCTATCTATCTATCTATCTATCTATCTATCTATCTACTTCATATCATATCTATCTATATATCTATGCTATCTATTCTATCTATCTATCTATTATGCTATCTATCTATTATCTATGCTATTCTATTTATCTATCTAATCTATCTAATCTCATCTTCTAGCTTGCGTATCTATCATCAGCTATGCTATCTATCTATCTATCATCTATCTCTATCTCTTCTATCTCTCTTATCTCTCCCTCTCTCCTCTCCGCTCACATTTGCTGCTTTCTCTCTCTCTCTCTCTCTCTCTCTCTCTCTCTCTCTCTCTCGCTGTGTCTTTCTCCTTCTCTTTCTCTCTTTCTCTCTCTCTCTCTCTCTCTTTCTGTCTCTCTCTCGTTACCGCTTTACTACAATTACCATCGTGTAGCACATTCTTCATGACATCCCTTATTCTCATTAGCACACATTCTTAGCGAGGACGAGTGCAAGAGGGGGAGATGCAGAGGGAGGGGGGGACGGCGGCGTGCCTGTACAGCGAGGCATAATATATGTTAATCACTTTGAGTGAGTGTCAGGGACGCGCAGCGCTGGCTCGGCGCTTATTATTTATTCGAGCGGCGATCCACTCAATGCCAGGGACATCAGCATAACATCTCGCTTAGACCCACTATATTTAGATGTTCTTGAGTAAAGCTGGTTGAAGGGTCTGGGTTCGGGTCGTTGTGCATAACTGCAGTGCTCTTGAATAATTCAGGGGCAATGATATGTAGGTCAAATCTTCGGGCATGTTTGTATTCTTGAGTATTCAAGGTTTCAATGTCTGAGGTACCTGTGCATTCATGGCGAGTTGAATCCGATGGGTGATGAGAGGTAACCCTCCTAGTTTGAAATCGGTGTAATTAGGATAAAGTCCCGCTGCGGGTTCTTGGCTCATAGAACCCAGCATGATGCAATTCAATCTTCTGAGTGAAAAACGATTTCAGTCTTCTCCATTCATTGCTTTATTAACTGCGTGAGACTATTTTGCGGCGCATAGGAAATATCTAGAAGTTGCGCAGAGCATCGATTACTGAAATGACGTCACGGCGATGTATCGTTCAATTGCATACAGTGATATATCATTTTCGCAGCAGCACGTACGACAGCGTCATAAGCGACAGAGAGATACCGAGTTTTCTCCTCGATTATGCTCGCCACTATCGTCTTCGTGCAGAAACTCTCTCTCGCTCTCTCTCTCTCNTAGATAGATAGATAGTTATGTAGTTATGTAGTTATGTAGTTATGTAGTTTGATAGATTATTATATAGATAGATAGATTATTATATAGATAGATAGATAGATTAGATAGATAGATAGAGATAGATAGATAGATAGATAGATAGATAGATAGATGGATAGATAGAGATGACAGTGATAGAGTGAAGACTAGTATAGACTAGTATGTGGAGCTGTGTACGGTAACAGTCTGTTTATTCCGCACTTACAGGAACCCACGACAGGTCTCGACTCGCATCACGCCTACGATATGATGATGATGTTGAAGTTGTACACGGAGAAGGAACGTAAGACGGTCGTCGTCACCATTCACCAGCCATCCAGCCAGATATTCCACATGTTCGATCGACTACTGCTGCTCAGCGGGGGGCATGTACGTTCATAGAACAACGTCAAGACGTGGAATTCATCACTCACGCACTTCTAGGCATTAAACGAAAGTGAAACAGCGATGAATTTGACGAAAAATGGCGTTTATATATTGTATATATTGTACAATATATTTCATATTTTCATATTCATATTTTCATATATTGTAGCCCACATATGGTAGCCCCCATGAAGATATATGAGCGGGCACGCACGCGCATGCACGCACGCACAGAGGTACACACGCACGGGCACCCGCGCAAATAACAACAGAAATTGGAATATGATCGCATTGACCTCACGAAACCCCGCGTGTACACGATGAGAGCATTTATATCAGCAGTCAGATAGTGGAAAATTTCCTAATACAATATAAATCTGCAACACGAGTAGCAGATCCTATTCTGTACTCGTGTTTCTCTCTCTCTCTCTCTCTGCTTCTCGTCTCTCTCTCTACCTGCCTGTCTGTCTGCCCCGCCCCACACAACTATGCACCCACTCACATAACTAACTACCAACCTATCTATCTATCTATCTATCTATCTATCTATCTATCTATCGCTATCTATCTATCTATCTATCTATCTATCTATCTATCTATCTTGATCTATCTATCTATCTTTCTATCTATCTATCTATCTATCTAGTCATCTTCATCTATCTATCTATCTACCTATTATCTATCTATCTATCTATTCTATATATATCTATCATCTATCTATCTATCTTATCTATCTATTCTATCTATCTATTATTTATCTATCTAATCTATCTTTCTATCTACTATCTATGTTATTTATCTATCTAATTCTATCTATCGATCTATCTATCTATCTATCTATTTAGTCTATCATCTATCTACTCTATCTTATCTCTCTCTCTCTCTCTCATCTATATTATATATTATCTATATATATATAATATATATATATATATATATATATTATATATATATCATACCATCCATCCATCCATCCATCCATCCATCCATCCATCCATCCATCCATCCATCCATCCATCCATCCATCCATCCATCCATCCATCCATTCGTCCATCAGTCCGTCCGTCCATCCATCCATCCATCCATCCATCCATCCATCCATCCAGCAACCCAGCAACCCACCAAACCACTCACCCATCCACCCAACCCACACACTCGCGTGCTCTCTCTCTCTCTCTCTCTCTCTCTTTCGTCCTCGCTCTCTCGCTCTCACCTCTATCTCTCATTCTCTCTCCTCCCCATATCTCATTCTCTTTCTTCTCTCCATCTCTATATATCTCTCTTTCTTTTTCTCTCTCGCTCCCTTTAAATATCGGGGGGTGCGAGTAATCCGATCACGCTCAGAATTACAGTTATCGATAATGGAAGAGTAAATCCCCTGCTGAACTATCCGCGGTTCACTGACATTGATAGACCCAATTTTGAATATTAAGTTATCGCCAATATTACGTACATTAGACCATTACCGCTGCTATATTGAAACTGATATATTCCACCGAGTATATACTACACACACACACGCACACGCACGCACGCACGCACGCACGCACGCACGCACGCACGCACGCACGCACGCACGCACACACATGTAAGCAACAAATTTTTGTTGGAAGCAATTTCTTTATTACAGCAATAAATAATATATAAAAACGTTGGGGCCTGTATCATAGCCATTAAATTCTCTCTATGGAACGTTCGAGAAAGAGAATCCTGCTAAATACCACCCGCTTTCGAATAACTTAATGCTACGGAAAAATTACCAACACGTTTAAAGCTCATAGTTGAAGCTTGTGTCAGGCATGGCACTATAATTCCATATGTTTGGTAAAGCAGCGTGGATGTGAAACCTTTTGCGGAAGACACGAGGCTTATGGTGTATAATGCCTCTAGCCCCTTATACATCTAAAGGCATACACTTTCGTACAGGGTTATTGTCGTTAATGTGCATTACTCGAAGTCGTTTTATACCTCTAGCAGTATACACATTTACACACTTGTATTCTGGTACATATAAACTTTTATAGTTTTTGGTAGTATATAGACTTTCACGCACTTTCATACGTGTATGTACTCATTATGTACTTATTGTGTAGGAATTTATACACCTATTAGTGTATGCATTGTTGTGCGTGTAGAAACCTTTATGCTCCCGCTAGTATAAACCTTTATTTTTATTTATAAATTTATAGTATAAATTTTCACAAGGTATATTAGTTAAGGAACAGCCGTGTACAAATTCGCGGTCGCATAGCAAAGTGAGACGATATAGAAATCACATCCCATGGCCAGTGGGTTCATAGAGCTTCCATTTCAATTATTGAGACTTCTTGATGTCTTCGGGATGAAACTCCATCAAATAACTTCAGATATCATGTAACATATGTCTCCATAACACGCAGCGAGCAGGGGCGGATCTAGGGGGTGTCCGGGGAGTCTGGACCCCCCTTTAATTTCAAAGTGCCCTAACCAATTTTTATTAGGGCTAGTTTTTCTGACAAAGATTTATGACTAGATATATATATTAAATCGTTATAAAAACCTAGAAATTGCAAAAAGGGGTCCGCGGGGCGGACTTTTATTCTAGACATCAAAATTACTGCACAGATGCTCTCAGAATGCACCAATTAAAATAAAAATTCTCGGGGAGGTTAAATTTTCCCGGGGGTACCCCCCTCCCTAAGTGGCCTTCTGCAGCTTTTTAAAACACCAGAAAAATTAAGCAGGAAAAAGTGCCGTTCATGCCTTCCTGGACACCCCCTTTCAAAAATCCTGGATCCGCCCCTGCCGATTGCGTACGATGTGATCAACAGCATGAAGTGTACGAGTGAAACAGCTATATGTTCTCACATGGACAATGCTTGCCGTCTTTAACCTTATAGGTGGCGTACTTCGGAGAATCGAATAAGATTCTGAACTACTTTTCCAACCTGGGACTACACTGCACGCCGCATTACAACCCGGCCGACTTCATATGTACGTATACGATCTGATGAGCGAGGTAGACTTGCATCTACTAGTGTAGATAACAGAGTTGGTATTTTTATGTGCTTCTACGTGTTAGACTATCGAGTAACGCCATGACGAAATCTAACGCAGTATCGATGTTATTGCCGTCTTTATTATCTTCGCAACCGTCGACTTACTTCGGTTTAGCCAATAAAATTCCCGGATGATCATGCTATGAATTAAATCTGAAGCAATTTCAGGACGCATCTGCGCAGTACGAAGTCATCAAATCTGGACAAAATCCATCATCTTGCACCGCGTAGCTCACCGACTAGAATTAATATACGCGACCAGCTATATCAGTATTTATTAGTGACGTACCACGAGGCCAGGCTTGCCCAATATGCCACGATAATATTGCACACTTCACCCACACTACATCACTTTTACATCTTTTGGCGGAGAAAAATACACATCATAAAACCGGTCGAGCGTTTTTATGACGCTAGCTTTTTGAATGTTTGAGTTAATCGATCGTTCATAATCAATTCATGTGATTGGCGACTTCGACGAGACAGAGTCATCATCTTTATTCGCATATATACGCACGCATTATGATCATCAATCTAGCGGGGCTTAGCAATAAGATGGGTGCTCATGTCGTAACAGCATAAACGTGCTTCTACGGATGTAAAAAAAAAAATCGAAATTTCCATTAATGACAAGGGGTGGAATATAGAATGAAATGGTTTTGGCGCATTGAAAGTGCGTGTCGTCTTGCGGAATAATGATTTAGTCGTCGGATAACACGGTGATATAGCTAGCTAATATATCGCGTAAATCTATCTTCGTCAGCTCGTTATTTCCACAGTAGAGTATTCTAGCTGACCGTTACCGCGCCTTTAAGTTCTTGTACATGTACATGGTGTAAGTATATCTGTGTGTGTGTGTGCGGAATGTCACCCACAGGCAAAACTATAGCGACATTCTTGAATCTTAATTCTCTCTTGTCTCAGTGGAAGCAGTGTCGACCGATGAGGAGGTACATGAGAGAATCATCAACTCGTACCTAGAAATGAGGTAAATATCAATTCACGTGGATGCTCCTATTGTGGCAATAGATACTGTGTCTGACGTCCCCGCATAGAGAGAGCAAGTACGCGCGCGCAAGAGAGAGAGGCCGAGAGAGAGGAAATAAGAGAACAGATAAGAAAGAGAGTGAGAAAGTGTGTATGTATGCGTGTGCTTGTGCGCGAGCGGGTGCCTGTGCGTGCGCGTGCGCGTGCTTGTGTGTTTGTGTGTGTGTGTGTGTGTGTGTGTGTGTGTGTGTGTGTGTGTGTGTGTGTGTGTGTGTGTGTGTGTGTGTGTGTGTGCATGTGTGTGTGTGTGTGCATGCGAGTGCGCGTGTGTCTGCATCTGCGTGTGCGCGTGCGTGAGCGTGTGTATGCGCGTGTTTGCACGTGCGTGTGCGTGTGTGTCTGTGCGTGCGCGTGTGTGTGCGTATGTGCGCGTACGTGTATGTGCGCGTGCATGTATGTGGGCGCGCGCGCGCGCGTGTGTGTGTGCGTGCGTGCGTGCGTGCGTGCGTGCGTGCTGCACACTACTGCTACTGATGCTCAGCGTGGCTTCACATGTTCATATAGCTAGCTGTCTCGGATAATGGAGCGTTATATCACAAACAATTAGCGTAGGCGAACGTGAATGTAGCAGCTGATAGATATAATTATCAAGTGTCCGCGTCTCTGTGTAACGGACACAAATTAGAGTACCATGCTACACGACACCAGCGCACACGCCTGTTAAATTTTAATTAAACGAGAATTAGCTGCATGATTAGGCTGTCGTAATTAGAAAGCTCTTCGCTGCACTACTTGACGACAATGGTAGCACTCTGTAAAATCATTACCGCTGTGACATAATTATCGTAAAAATCGTGAAATTAACCTTATCTTAAATTGACTACGTCACGACTTTTCTATGGTGTATATTTGTAAAATTTTTGTTGCAATTTTTGTTACATGAAAAGTAGAAAAGATCACGAGATTAAATGCTTGCTATGGGCTATGTATGAGTGTTTGTTCACATCGAACGGAAGAGCAAAAGATAGGAAGTATAATGCAGCAATTTAACGATAAAAAGTGAACAGAATCACTTTCATTTTGTGAAAAAGTGGACATAAATTTTTTACTTTTACAATTTACGGTGACGTAATCACTTTAATTGAGCGGGTGCTGCGCAACGGAAGAGAAACATCATTAAATATCGTAATCACACTTACTCTGCGCAGGGAATCTATGGAGGAATTCGGGCTGACACAGCTGGACGAGATTGATCTGGATGACACGGAGTCTGTGATTGACATGAACTTCATGAACAACACCAGTAACAACCTTGTCATGACTCGCTGCGACCAGGAACCTGTGCGATCAATGATGACACACAGACCAGCACACGCGCATACACACGCTCACGCACGCGCACACGCAGATGCAGACACACGCGCACTCGCATGCACACACACACACACATGCACACACACACACACACACACACACACACACACACACACACACACACACACACACACACACACACACACAC